CCCCGCCGCGGGGAGGGGGCCGCGGAGGGACGTGGGTCACCGCAGAGCCCGGTGCGTGTCTGGGCGGGGGTGTGCGGAAGTGTCCGCTCCCCTCCGGGGCCGCCCCGCCGCCCTGGAGCACGCCAGGACGGGCAGATGCGCTGCCGCCGCGGGGGGGGGTTGGCGTCTGCCACCACCCGTGAGTAACAGTTCCACGTTTGACGAATGATGTGGAAGGAGCTGGGTTGAACTTATCCCGGCATCCTTACGTCTAAAAAGCAGATATATAGGCGGTGTGTTTCTCTGTTGGCTAGGTCAAGTCGGCGTTTTAGAGATATATTGTCAGGAGTTCTGTGTGTTCTTGCAAGAAGCTGCCATTACATTAGTTTTCCAAACAGTGAAATTTTTATCTTGTTACAAAAGAAATAAAAATGCTGCAATTCCAAAACAAAGTTGGCACAAGAACTTTGATGTACCTGCATTAAAGTTTCCTTCAAATGATCTTTCACAACTTGTGTTGTCCTTCATGTCCCTCTGCCAGAGGTTATCAGCACCACAGATTTCATAACATGGCACTGGAAGGCTGAGGAACTAGTGGGTATGGATGTTTTTTCTATGCTCTTGGCAGGAAGGCATGGCATATGCTTTAGAGGATAATTTGTTAAGTTACTGAGTGTGAATTCCCAGCACACACCTGGAAGTAACATAAGCACTGTTGCTTAGGAGGTCACTTTTCTCTCCCAGCTGTGAGTGGTGACCTCCTCAATAGATTTGACCAAAAGGAGCATATGCTTATGCTGAGCCTCAGCCACTTCATAACTTAAATTCCACTTTCACTGTCAGTTCAAGGGAAGATGTTGGCCATCTGTTAGGTACTAATCCATATTGAAATGCAGGCAGCAGCAGTTACGTTACTATTGTGATCTGACATCACAAAACTGATACTTTCTTCTCAGAAGTATATATTCAGAGTATTCTCACATTTGGCTGTTGCTAGCATTGCAGCCCAAAGATAGCCAGAGGGGTTTCAGCTGTGTCAAAAGTATTTTTACAGTCTGGCGACTATTACTGATAGCAGTACGTGATCCATGATTTTGCAAATGCACGTAACAACATAAAGACAGCTTGAATTAGAAATCTTTCTAAAAAACTGTACAATACCGTGCTTCATCACTCCTGCAAATATAATGTTGCATATCTAAGGTGCCTTCCAGGTGCATTATCTTTGGGATTTTGGCCTGTCTGCTCCTATGCAAACTGTAAACTGTCAATTTTCCCTCTATAAATAGCATGTCTGATTTTCCTCACAGACATACAGCCAAGGGATTGAATTAGCCTGCCAAAAAGAAAGAGAGTTTGTGAAGCACTCTGTAGAATGCACGTGGAACCTAGCAGAAGCCCAGCAAAAACTTGGTAGCTTAGCACTGCATAATTCAGAATCCCGCGATCAGGAATCTGCTCAAGCAAAGACTGAAGCTGCAGAGTTGAGATGGAGAGAGGAAGAGTGGAGAAGAAAAGAAGAAGCACTAAACCAGAGGGAAAGACAGAATCTATGGAACACAGATCCTGTTAGTAAGGAGGTATTTAATAAGGTATGACCCATATCAGTGTGCATGAAAACAAGTGTTAGCCTCTTTTTTTTCATTCCACTTGTTACTAGTCTTGAGTGTCTTCTGCATCCAGTACAGCAGAAAACCACAGTATGTGTTAAATGGAGATTTTTTTTTTCTTACTTTGCCTCATGGAAGGGAGCCAGCTGCACTCATACTACAAATCTGGATGACATTTCGCTACCAGAAGTGCGGATCAGAACTTGCGTGGGTCATCTAGGTATTAGATATGAGCCAGCAGTGTGCACTTCCAGCCCAGAAAGCCAATCATATCCTGGGCTGCATAAAAAGCAACATGGCCAGCAGGCTGAGGGAGCTGATTCTCCCCCTCTACTCTGTTCTGGTGAGACTCCACCTGGAGTACTGCATCCAGCTCTGCGGTCCCCAATACAAGAAAGACGAGGACCTGTTAGAGCAGGTCCAGCGGAGGGCCCTGAAAATGGTCGGAGGGCTGGAACACCTCTCCTGTGAAAAAAGGCTGAGAGAGTTGAGGTTTTCAGCCTGGAGAAGAGAAGGTGCTGGGGAGACCTTATTGACCTTATTGTGGCCTTTCAATACTTAAAGGGGGCTTATAAGAAAGATGGAGAGAGATTTTTTGTAACAGCTTGTAGTGACAGGACAAGGGGCAATGGTTTTAAACTGAAAGAGAGTAGGTTTAGACTGGATGTAAGGAAGAAATTTTTTATGATGAGGGTGGTGAAACACTGGAACAGGTTGCCCAGAGAAGTTGTGGGTGCCCCATCCCTGGAAGCAATAGAGGTCAGGTTGGATGGGGCTTTGAGCAACCTGATGTAGTGAAAGATTTCCCTGACCACAGCAGGGAGGGGTGGAACTACCTGATCTCTAAATGTCCCTTCCAACCCAAACCACTCTATGATTCTATGTAGTGCAAGTGTTGCCAGATGCGCTGAATGAGTTTCTTCACATGAAGAGCGTGTGTGCCAAATTCTTAAAACGTGAAACTGTCAGTTTGCCTCTAATAATGACTACTGTAATACAGATTATTTAGCACAAACTTTTTTTTATAGCAGAATCTCAGCTTTGATTTCACAATTTAATTTGAACAGCTAGCGCAGCTCCTGTTCTCACTGATTTAGCTGCATCTAGGCTGCAATGTACATGATTCTCATTGTTGACAGATCAGTAAGTTCCTACCTAAGGACAGAAGTTTCTCAGGGTTCTTTGGTCAGTAGACTATAATGAGACTTTTAAACTCTATGATTAGGTAATGCACTTTTTTAAAAGAAAACCTTCTCAAGTATATGACATGACTCTAAAATAAGAACATAGCCCTTTAAATAGTAACATATTAAAATATAATACTCCTATATATCACAAAAAGATATGTCTGGAGTTTCTGTGATAGTACCATTTTTCTCTTCCTCAGAGTTTTATTAATCAAAAAAGAAAAGAAATAGAAGACGAAGATGTGTCTGAACCACTTATGCAAAAACATGAACAAAAGATTAGACACTTTGGTGAGTGTGCTTTTTCCAACATTTTGCAGTTCAAACTTCTACAGAATTTGTGTAGGTTTGCTCCTTATTGTACAGAATGAATGCTAACAAATGAAAGACCTGGCTAATAGACTGTTCAGCTTTATTTTATCAGGACAGATAATATTTTCAAAGCGAAATAAGGTGTAAACTGTAGAAGCTTCTTAGTTCCTGTGACCAATTAAGAACTTAAATTAAAAAAAAAAAATACTGAAATGAGCTTAAGCCCTGAAAAGTGATGTTCTAGCAACTTTTTCTGCTGTTCAGTGGGAAAAGGCACAGACATTTATGGAAATGTAAGTTGTGTCTATAAAAGTGCATGGGATTGTCCATAGCTGTCTCCTTTTACTAAATGTTTTTTCTGGTGATTATTAAGCTACAAGGGTAATGATTGATTAAAGGGAAATGTCTGTAAATGCCTACTGAGAGTATGTGTGCATGGAACTGTGCGTTTCTTAAAATTACATTTAATTGTCCACTAGGTGTCACTTCAGCTCTGTCATAATTGTTGAACCCAATTAAGCACAAAGCTGATCTTGTAAAGTAATCTGAAGTTTTGATGGTTCTCTGGAGTGCTTTCCATTCTTAGTTACAGGTTGGTCTAAGACTATGGTATAGAATAGCCGTATTTGGAATTCCAGAATAATCAAGAACAGGACTGAGTTGGCAAAATTCAATTCTTTGTACAAACTCGTTTTTACTAAGCTATTTGGCTTCTAAGGATCTTAAACTGTTTTAAAGAAAGGGTTTCTAGCCCTGTTAACCTTAGCAAGCCTTGCAAGTACCAAGTTGAGGCACAACACTGTCAGAGTATGCCAACAGCAGTGATAGGCACAGGTTCTCTCAAATATCTTAACTGCTACGTGTAATGATAGCAGAATCAGAAGACATCTCCCCTGCTGTGCATTTCAGCAGAAAAAAAGAGGCTTTCTTGCAGGCTTCCTAGCTAAGAGCTGGGCAAAATTACTTTGCTGTCTAAATTACTTTGCTCCTAAATTCAAAGCCATGTTGTTATTTTAATTCAAAATATGTTAAGCCCATTGTAAAAAGAGACAGTACATTAATGCTCTTTCACATCTCTTGTTCTGTGCTAACTGCTGCCAAGGGGCAGTGTGGACTTCACTAGCTTGAGCCCTCTTTCTGGATCCTGCTCTGGCTTTCAAGCAATAAAGAACTTATGCGGACTGCTCTCTTGAAAACAGCCAAAAGAAATATTAGCCATTGCTTTCTCTTTAGGCATTTGTTTGTTAGAATTAAGATTAGCTTAGGTCATTACCACTGAATTATCTTTAGCCCAGTTATAATTACACGCTGATAGACGGGTAAAGCTGTACATTTGGTACCTGTTGCCAGTAATGACTTGACTGTCAGTGATACATAAAGGACAATTTTAAGAAGTGGTCTGAGTATTGAGTTCTGATTTTTAAACTCAGCTCTTTACATGAAGGTAGCTTCATGCTATCACAATTCAATCTTCTAGTTAACTTTCCAATACTGATGTGGCTTTGCTTTTTGAGATCAAGCTGTTCCGGTAATTAAATTCAAATTTCCTAAAAACCTAGCAAATCATGTGTTAGAAGCGCTTTCATTTTTGACAGATTACACATTCTTTTCTTCGCATTCTTATTTGCAAACATTTAGAGGATCTGTGTTTGTCAGAATCGCTGAATGTAAATATCCATAAACTTTTTAAACTATTTGATGATGCAACTAATAGATACCTACACCACTTTGTTAGTGTATATGAGAACTGATTAAACATAACTTATCAATGATGCTAGACATGCATTAAAATACAGGAAATTGAGATTTAAAATCTACTTTTAGTATCTTCAAAGTCTAATTATACCTCTGGTAATGCTCTTTCAGTGTTGGTTAGATGTATAAATAAACCCCCCAAATTTAGCTGCATGCTGTCATTCTGAGGTTAGTGAATCACAAAGGTGTTACATATACTGGGGTATCAATGCAAGTAACTTCCTTGCTGCATTAAATCATTTATCTGTTTAGAATATCTTAACTATATTTCTCTTATTAGGTATGCTGAGCAGATGGGATGATAGTCAAAGATTTTTGTCTGATCACCCGTATCTGGTATGTGAAGAAACATCTAGATATCTCATGTTGTGGTGTTTTCATCTAGAAGCTGAACAGGTATGAAGAAGACGTTTAAGTTGTTTGAAAGCATACAGTTTCCCACTTGCAATATAGAAAAGCTGACCAACTTGATTAGCTATTTAACTGTTCTTCCCACCCTCTCTCTACTTTATTGAAGAACAACTCTGTAGTGCACTGTCACACATGTCTAGTTATAGCTAATTGTCAGTCCCCTTGCTTCTGTGAGCATCAGTTCTCATCTGTTTAGGAACTAGAACAAAAGGAAATTATGCTGAATTTTAGAAATATAATCACAGGAAATATCTTTAAATCATAACTTTAACTTTTTTTCAGAAAAGAGCTCTGATGGAGCAAGTAGCACACCAAGCAGTTGTAATGCAGTTTATTATAGAAATTGCCAGAAGCTGCAATGTGGATCCAAGAGGCTGTTTTCGTCTCTTTTTCCAAAAAGCCAAAGTAAGTCAACTTGGGTAATGACGGGAGAAACTCTTGATGCTGTACAAGGGACCAGTGTTTTAGAGAAGGCTTCTTCCTAATCCTAAGAGGCTAAATATTTTATGTACTGACTTAGGCTTATGGGAAAGTGTTTTGTTAGCAGTTCTCTTCTAGACAGAATATTTTGGTGTAATTCCCATTCTGAAAATGAAAGGTTAGTGGATTTTGCTTATCCCAGAGGGAAAGCAAGATACAGCAGGGGGACAACAGGGATGTTATAGACAAGTAATAACTAAGTAACAACAGCAAACATAGACCGGTTTAAGGACTGATTTTGGCTAATTACAGCTGTGTTTTCACAGTGTACCTATGTATTGTCACAACTTTCCATTTCATCTGCCGTTCACAGTGGGGCCCAAAATAGTGTCCCTTTCTCGTTACTGAAATAGAGCAATCCAGAGCTATGCAGGAGAAATGCGGGAAGACTGAAACTGTGGTTTGCTGTAGACTGTATTCAGTTATTCAAGAGACTGATGGATCTCAATATTGCCTAAAGGAGTTCAGTTAAAGTGCAAGTCAACTTGTGCTTTACTTTTGACCAGAGTGCTACAACAAGCACCTGTTCTTCTAAGGGTACTGGCTTCTGAGTTGGAATAAAGGAAAGGCTAAAATTAGATTTATTTTTACATGTCCTTAGATAAATAAATTACTTTGCTTCTACATATAAATACTACAGATTGTCTTAAGAAGAAATCTACCTGAAATTTCATTTTAAATTGACTAACATTATTCTTGAGTTGTTCACAGTTGTTATTCCCCGAAGGGTATAACATGCATTACTGAGTGGGTTTTCTCAGCACTGTGTATGCTTACAACTCAAAAGTAAATCTGGCTGAAGTACAAATATTTCATTTTTCTCTTTGCAGACAGGAGAAGGCTATTTTGAGGCTTTTAAAAATGAACTGGAGGCATTCAAGACGAGAGTGAGAATCTGGTCACAATCACATGGCTTTCAAACTATGTTACTACACGATCTCAGTGTCAATCCTGGTCTTGTAGGAGAGCTGTCATCTTTTTCACAGGTAGGTTTATTATTTCTAGAAATTAATCTAACTAAAGTGGCGTTAGGTCCTGCCTTGAGAAGCTGTACCTTTCTGAAATATAAAGAGGATTATTCCTAGAACTGCTAGTGCTCAGGATATAACATGCAGTATTATCAATATGCAAGGCATATATGGGCTTTCTTTTTACTTGCTGGAATTCAGAAAGCATCAGCATAACATCAAAAGCATATGTTAGTTCACTGCCCTTACATTTTCGTGCTTAAAATAACACTGCATCATAAAACTGACCAAATGCTACAATTGTATTCATGTTCTTTACCACAAGCAGTGAAATGAGCTTTCAGTGTAAAATGACTAACCCTATTCATGGGATCATTCAGGTAAGTCAAGCCTAAGGAAAGTCTCCTGTTGTGATAAAAGGAAACTGAGGGTACTTAGGTCTTTTGTTACAGTACTAGTAATGGCCACATTCTGGAATGAAGAAGCAACTTAAAAGATTGTCAAAAGTTAGGTATTAGGGAAGGAGTCACAATTGAAACTACTTATTTGAAATAATTTGATTAAAGTACCTCTCAAGTAAGATCCAACAGCTGAGTTTTAAGTAAATGTGCAGTCAAGTGCCAGAAATATTGAGACCAAATACAAGCTATGCCAGCAAATTTAAAGAATTCTTGACACAGTGAGATAATATTGGTTGATGAATTTTTCAGAGCTTATTTCCTTACTATTTTAAATTTGTCTCATCTTAAGATGGATAACACAAAGAGTCCAGCTTAAGCTAAAAATCTCTCTGTTTCTCTCTTTCTCTCTCTCACGCTGTATACACAGTTATGGAGAATTAAGCTGTCAATTTTCCATCTGTTGCAGAACACAGGTGATCTACAAGGTCCCATAAACACAGATGTCTGCAGTTTAAACTCTGTGATACAAAGAGATGAAGAAGAATCCAAAATGATGGACACAGTATAGTACTCTTAAGACTGAGGCCAAGTACTCTTTTTTTTTCTTTTTTTCTTTTTTTTTTTTTTTCATAGACACAAACATGGCTATTTTCTTGACACTTATTTTTCTGGGTACTGCACTTTATTTTTGGTGTCAGATTTTTGTTGTTGTTTGGTTTTAGGGGGTAAGGGATTTTGAAGGGTGGGTAATTCAGAAAAACTTGTAATATTGTTTGAAAATGTGCTGCTAGGTTTTTGGTTGTCCTTGCAGAGCAGGGTTCTCATATTGCCGAATGTGAAACTGGATGTGTTTTCTGCTACTAACCTTGCCTTTCATGACTTTAGAAATTAAAGTATGAAAAAAAAATCTGCACAAATACAATGTTTACAAGAAACGGCAGATTCTTGGTAGAATCTGCTATTGTCTTACTACAGATGTGGACATGTTTTACTCTATGAATATTGGAGATCACAACTGTATTCATGCTACCTTGCTGACGTTATAAGCTCTCAAATTTGGTTATCACTAATAGCAATAAATCAATACCTGGTATCAGTATTTCAGATCTGAATGGATTAGATTAAAACACTGGCTTTCTACCTCTACTAAGGGGATTTAAATGTTACATTGTGCTTTCATTAAACATAACTTGGTTTTGTCCTAAAATGTAAGCAATGCTCGTCTACATATGAGTGCTGGGCTGTATGATTTCTGAGAGTCTGACTCTCTTCTTGTTCATAAGGCTAACTTCAGAATTTTTTTTAAACCAAGTCTCATTATGGGGAGAAGTATTTGATGGAGGGGTTGGAGGGAACTTGAGGTACAAAGGCTAGGCTAAGACTTCAGTTTAAACAAAAAGCTTCATCGCAGTTCATATAGGGTAAGGTGTCATGCAGGGTTTGAAAGGTATTTCATATGCGACTAAAGTGGGTTTCTGACATTGCCAACTCAAACAATTAAAGTGGAAAATCATTAAAAGCTTCCTGTTTGAGGAGCTGGAAATCCAAATACTGTTCCTAGACAAGGCCTTCCACAGAACCTCTGCAATCCAAAATTCTACTGTGCTTTTCTAACTTGCAGCTATTACAGCAGTTCTATCTATAAAAATATATACTGCAGTTGGAAGACTCCAGTGAAGACAGCTCGTATCTCAAATAATGGTATTGGTACATACTCTCAGTCGTTTACTGTATTGTTCTGATTGTATGTAAGGTCTGGAAGGTATCTAGATTTCAATAGTTTGATGAACACAGTCTACCTGCAGTTGCTAATTCAGGCAAAAGCTGTGCTGAGATCCAGTGATTTTCAGCTTTGGCTATAGCAGAGATAGGGAAAAGTCTTAAGTCTGCAGTATATACTAGAGTGTTAGTACAAATGCAGTAGCAAAAGTAGGAACTCCAGATCCACTGATAGAAGTAGCTTTTCATGTGCCTTGTGTTCTCTAGCAGTCCTTTTGCAGACAGACTGAGGATAAAGGAGCAAGGAGCAGCTCTGGCCCAGCTGCAAATTAGAGATAACCAGCTTCAGTAGTAATTTTTTTGTTGTTGTTTGACAGATACTCCAGAGAGGATAAAGTAAACACTGCCTCCTCCTTAATAATTAATTAATTATTAAGGGAAACTAAGGGAAACTAATAACTTCAGGTTGTTTTTTAACTGAATGATATATACAAGGGTAGTAAGGGCAGTGTAGCACAGTGACTTGTAATTGCTACCATTAGCTGTAGAGCCACGTTGATCTAGCAACCTGTGATATACTGAAAGTTATTTTTAAAGTTTCTAAGGGGCTAAAATTGGATGGTCTGGGAATAAGTGTCAAATCATAACGAGATTCCTTCCCCATTCTCCTTCCAACTCACTGAAACTTACATAGGCTGGCAAAAAAACCAAGCATAGCTGCTTTTTGTTGAAATCAAAATGCATAAATAGAAGTAAGCAGGCAGCACATCAGGGTTTCTCACTGTAATGTAGTAGCTACTGTTTTCTAACCATGACTTTTTTAAGGAAGTGCATCTCTAAACTCACTCAGTCTACAGCCTCCATACAGACATTTCTGAAGATGGAAGTACAAGTGGTCAGCTCAGCCTTTTGGGAAGCTTTCTTTAAAATGTAAGGAAAGCTGCTTGCAGTGATAGCTGCTGCCCATATTGTTCATTTATAGTAATGGGAAAGCTTTACAAATTCTACAATGACTACCTTTTTTAGACTCAAATGTGTCTCAATATTGATAATGCTAAAACTAGACGTGCAAACGTAGTCCAAGGTACATCAGCACCACAGCGCTGTAGTTGTTTACAGTCACTGCAAAAGGAGATTGGGACCTGCATTAGTAGGACACAGCTACTTCAGACGTTGCCTAGACAGAGTTGTTTGTTCCTCAGGTTTTGCTGACTCTTCTTGAAACTCTCAGTCTGGTGAGCATAAAAAAGGATTAGGAGAGTTCACTGAAAAATAGCAATGTCTGCATTACCTGGAGTGTTAAAAAGTGTGGCCTGTGGAGGTTTTTAACTCCGGTTATCTAGTGAATAAATAAATACAAGAGCTGGTCAGAGACATGAATTAGTAGTATGAACTCATGAAAACCAGTCCAATTGCTACAATAAAACTTGCTACAGTAATATGACAAAATTAGTAATTTGACCACTGGAAATCCTGGCACTGGCATTGATGAGCAGTTGTTTTTTCAAAGATAGTAGAAAAGACACACTTACTAGTCAAGATCATCTAGCTACAGGCTTACCAGATTACACTTAATCTGTTCAATATCTGCTGTCTTTTTACTAATAAAGTCTTACAGAGCTGCACAAAGACAGAGGCTTTACCAAATATGTTACACATCATTGAAACTCCATTTCTCATGCCTGCAAGATAGTGACTCTGAGGGCAGAAATATAAACATAGTAATAAGGCAAATCATCCAAGCAGGTGTTAAGGGTAATTTAAGCCCAGCAAAATCAGCTACCATCTGTGCAAGCAAAGCTAAAAGAAGGTCACTGTCTTCCATGGGATCAACCTATACATATGCCAATTCTGGTCTGAAATGGCTTTTTGCAGAATTGTGGTCATGGCTCCCGACAGCTTCTGGCTGGCCCCAACTAATCACACATTCAAGAAATGTGCTTTCGTGTCCTTATCATTGCTTCACACTACATCTCATGAGTGAGTAAATCAATCGATGTGCTTTGTAATTAAGCTGTATTCTGAAGTGTGTTTCCTTCACCAGTCAATATTTGCAAACGTAAATATTTTCTGAATAAGAGACACAAGAGTAGCTGCTTTTGTTACAAAGTCAGTTACTATATTATAAAAATTAGGTATATTTAATATAAAAAAATACAGCATTAAAGTGAGAACCACATGCAACCAAGTTTTATCATAATGTAAGTTAAAGGACAACATTAGCCTTTAATTATTGATCAGTCTGATAGACTACTTAGAGAAATCCTTGATTGCTGAATCTCATGTAATCAAGTGTGAGCTATGACAGATGAGCAGAAGTTAGACCTATTTCACCTGGGAGTAGCAGCATCTTTCTGGCTCACATCTGGCAACTTGGTTTGGAGGAAGGCATAAATATGTGGCCAGATCTTATTGGTTTCTGTTCCAGAGAAGGATTTCAATAACCCTTTTTCCCTAAGGAAGAAAAAGAAGAAAGCATTACAGAAGTCAAATTAACTGTTCCAGGGTCTCTGCCTCACTTTAAGATTGCCCTGACAGGAGTGTGCGAATATGCATGTGATTTAGCACCAGGAACAGCTGTAACATTGGGAATGCAGGCTGGACATGCATTACTCTGTTCCTGAAACAGTGAGCTATTGGCCACATCAGTTCGTAAAACTGACAGCTGTCCACAGAGTACTTAATAACAAACTATGAAGGGTAAAAATAAGAAGCAGCAATGCAGTCATAAAGCACATGCTATACAGCAGTTATCCAAACAACTGCGACTAACCCAGGTATTGTAAAGTTACACCTCAAGGATCAAAGAAGGTGCATCAGAACAAGCAAGTGAACCAGGCACAATCAAGTTATTCTGAATTAGTTCTAGTAGCTACTTTTATCTGTAAAGTATGTTATTATCAGTAATAATAATAGCTTGGGCCTATGTCTTACTGTGATGCTTTGAGGCATTTTCAATTCAGAAAGCTACCAAAGTCAGGAAAATCATTATCAATCCAGAAAAACTACTCCTTTCAAACTTAACCACCCCAAAGATGGAGCTTCTAGTCTTCTGCTCAACCGTTTTGGTAGAGCATAATGAAGGGTGGTGGATACGGAGACAGAGGAAGGACAGTCACTTCAGGATGTTGTCAAAGAGACTCTGATTTCTTTGTCTAGGCAAGATAAGACTACAAAGCTCTACATGGTGACCTTCTATTATCTATATATTAGCAATGCAATATGTGCAGCTTTACATTAAGAGAAACTTTGTGTGTAATTTTGGCTCTTAAAAGAACTAGTAATTTGTTACCATTCCTCAGTGCAAGTGGCAGTATTCTCAAATAGCTGCTTATTCCCAAAGAGTCTTGCTAGCTGTGCCCGTCACAGTCCTTTTCTTAGAAAAGCCACTTTTTCAATTTGCGTATCCCTTGTTAGGAGGGTTTCTACTTATACATCCAGAACAAAAAATACTGTTAAATCTTCAAAAAACAGGAACTGTCTCTGTTACCTCACTAACCAGAGCTACGTTGCTCAGAACAGTACTATAATGTATTGAATAATGCATAGCACTCTTTGTAAAACTAAATATGGCTGCAGTGAAAGGCTCTTTTGCTAAGCAGGCTCCTGAAGAGTGGTTCATGCAACAGTGGAAAACACACTCATTTTCCTGGGTTGATTTCTTATTGAGTTGATGAAAGATACACTGCTACTCATACCACGTTCACTGTTGCAGTATCTCTGTAACTGAAGAGATATGTTCCTTGCTATGCTAATGTGGAAGAAGCTTTTAGAATGTGGAAGAATAGATTTTACTACTTACCGATAATATTCTAGAACAGGTTTTGTTTGTGCATCATAAGCCTGCAGCCTCTTGGTAACCGTCTCTGGCTTATCATCATCACGCTGAACAAGTGGCTCTCCAGTAATATCATCAATGCCCTAATCATGGTTAAAAGCAAACACTGGTGTATATTTCTTATTTCTGTTTAAGTGTTTGTGTAATTTTCTATTTAAATTATGATCAGTTTCCAGTTAGTCAAGGTGTAGATTTCTGCTTATAAAGAGAAAGGCTACTGCTCATATCTTATCTGGAATGTAAGATGTTGACTTTCCAGTAAAACAGTCCATCAGTTAAAAACATTTTCTCAGTATTGGCAATGAACATTAGGTCATACTAACTCGACTAATTTGTCTTCTGGAACATTCGTTGAATATGGGGAATATGTAGACAAAATCTTCACACATGAGGGAAAACAATATTGTTGGTATAATGTTCCTGCATAACAGGAAACAAGCAAGTGACCAACTGGACCTTTGTTTGACAATACTGAAATGGGGAAAGGCGTTAATGGCCCTTTGATTTTAAGTCGCAAAACGGAAGAGTTATCATTTAGCAACAACTGTACAAAAAATGGCATAAAAGCCAGCTCAAGTTTTTCTAGGATTCAGTAAACAGAGGTAGGGACCTAATGTGTGAACTGTGACAGCTCCTACTTTACTGCACATTTCACCTCCAATTTACTGAAGTGCTTTAAGTGATTATGGAGCTTTTAAGCCTTGAAACCAGCAATGACTGAAGAAATTATTGACTACTGGCATATCTTATGAAGGACTAGCTAGTGGCATAAAAGTTGGCTCCTTTTTAGGTGCACTGAATCATTGTGCATCTGAGGACAGAATATGACCCATAAGGGATTCTTTGCTCCTTTGTACATATTAATTAAATCATCAAGAATTTTGATTTTCCCTAATGTCAGATTAAACTTGGCTTTTGGAGTGGAAACATGAGTGATCTTGCAAGTACAAAGCCAATTAGACCACAAAAATGT